GAATAAAAGAAAATCAAAGAATCATTAAAAGATTAATTTTCAATTTCTTTTTCATTTGTTCCCAGGTGGAAAAATCTTACGAGGGTGTGGGTGTGGGGGGAAACATCAAATTTGTCGAATATAAAAAATGTCGATTGATTCCAAGTTGGTTCCAAGTTGATTTCAACTTGATTTTTTCAACTTGAAATCAATTTGAAATCAACTTGGAATCAATCGACATTATTTGTATTCGACAAATTTGATGTTTCCTCCAACACCCACACCCACACCTCGGTTTTGAATATATCAATTGATGAAGCAAGTGTTTTTGGAAAACGAGGATTTTCATCTGGTCCACCATCGACGGTAATAATAACAATAGATTTAACTTTATTTGAAGAATCAAGACCAGCCGTATTAAATTCTTGTAACTTGACCAAACGATTAAAATCATCTCGAGGATTAGCTGATATACTTTTATCATGTTTAGTTGAACGAATAGCAATATATATTGAACCTGAATAACCAACATCTCCAACATTATTGATCAAGCATGCAGCATATACACTAAAAAAGACAAAATAGCTTGCTAAATATCTCCTAAAAAGTTCACTTTAAGTTACCTTGAAGTTAATTGATGACGAGATGCTGTAACAAAATCATGATCAGGTAGTTTAATGATATAATCAAGATGCATTAATAAAGATGCCTGTTTTTTTGTCAGCTGGTAAACCAATGGGCACTTTACACTTGTCATCTTGTGAAAGAAAAAAGACACAATTATTTCCGAAAAGTGTAGCTAAATCTTTTGCAAAACGAATAGCTGCAGCAGCAAAATGACTATCTTCGTGCTTATTGTGAAGATTATTTTGTGCCTTTTGAAGACGTACATTTACTGTACGAACATGTTTTTTTTCCATCAACAGAAAGTGCACGACGAGGTAAAAGACTAAAATTAATATAAATAAATTTAATCATTTTTATAGTAGCAATTACCGATAATATAAAGTAGATCTTTTAATTTCATAACCTTTCATTTTTAATGTTTCACGGAGATCATCAAGAGTTAAACAAGATCGAATAGTTTCAGTTCTTCGTCGATCATCAACAGCTCCACCAAGAATAGCAATTTCTTCATTTGTGGCAAGTAAGTCTGGACATGTATCATCAATTGAAGGACGACCTTTATCTTGTCAAAATGTTGTTTTTAAAATGAGGCCAACATCTGGATGAGATTCTGTAATTGTTCGTAGTTTATTTTTTTCACATATTATGAACACGTGATCAGTCGGTCTCACCCCCTCCCCTACTTGATCACGTGATTTCCAAACAGCCCCTTATCATTATACAAACTTTTTCAGTGTACGCCTGAAAAGTTGAAAATGAAAATTACTAATTTTTGTTTATCTACTCGTTTTTTGTTTTGTTATCGCTGTACATAAGTATACTTAGAATTGCTTATAATGATTGAAGCCGAAGCTAACTAAATTTTCAATCTTTTTGCAAAGAAAAGGCTGTTTATTCAGTTTTTCATAATACTGATGAAGACCATCTTCTAAAACTACAGCATACGTTCCGTTTCTACAAAAACCTAATGGCTGTAGCGTCTATAAACAAGTGATAATAAACCATCAATTGAAAAATATTCTGTTGGTATTAAAAATACGACACAGAAACGCGCTTCCTAATTGAAAGTATCACTAAATAATCAAAAATACTTTGTCTATTTTCTGTTTACAGGATAACATACTTTAAAAACAATTACGACTCATGTTACATTTTACCACTAGATGACCTTTTTTCTTTAATCTACCTATTTATTTTATTTAAGGTCAAACAAATCGAATAGAATATAAGAGAAAAGGGCATTTATAACTGAATGTTTTATCTTTTTCTCTGTTAATTGCATTTCTCTAAATATTCTAAAACAAAAATATAATCTTTCATTATAATTTATTGTTTTGAAAAGAAATGATAACACGTACTCTGAACGTCGTAGACTATGTTCTTCTTGTTTTACTCCTCTTAGCATCGGCAGTTATCGGTGTTATATTTGGATGTGTCAAATCAAAGAAAAACTCAGCAAAAGAATTTCTTCTCGGTAGTCACTTTGATATGTTTTTCCATTTAATAAGTAATAATATCTTTTCTGTATTACAGCTAACCGCGAAATGGGAGTAAGTATTCAATTAAAATCCATCACATTGCATTGATTATTGGATTTATATTCAGGTATTTCCAGCAGCTCTCAGTATAACAGCATCGTTTCTATCGGCTAATACTATGCTAGGAACACCGAGTGAAATTTATACATATGGAACTATGTACTGTTATCATAGTATGAAACACATAAACTGATGAATAATTTACTATCTGTATGAAACAATATGAAGGCTTCCAAATAAAAGTCCCTGATTGGCAGACGTTCACTAGAGGATGAGGAAAAAATAATTAGCACTAGCTCTCAATCGCTTAGTCCAGTCCTCCATGACTGTAGAATAATGCTATCGTAGTCGTTTTAATAATTCTGCATCACCTGTTGTACCACAGAACACTAATAAAAATAATACTTATCTTTTAGCTGTTTCTTGGACTATAGCTGTAACAATAACAGCATTGGTATTTATGCCCAAATTCCGTGAAATGAATTGCACAAGTGCTTATGAAGTATATTCACATTTCACATTGATTTTATTATACACTAAAATGTTTCATCCAGTATTTAGAAAAACGCTTCGATTGTTCAGTGCGCGTTTGCGTCTCTCTTATTTTCTCCATTTTCATGGTAAAAATTAAAGGATGATTCTACTTCTTCCGTATTTACTATTTTCATAGCTGATCTACATGGCCATTGTTTTATATGGCCCGGCATTAGCACTCAGTCAGAGTGGGTGAATTGTTCAGTTTTCTCGAAGAAAAAGTATTGTTCGATCTAATTTAGCCACTGGTTTAAATATATGGCTTTCAGTTGTTTCGATTGGAGTTGTTTGTACTTTTTATTCATCTGTGGTATGTAAATAATCAATAGAATAGAGAAAAAAATCATGTTTCAAAATTAGGGTGGAATGAAAGCTGTGATTTGGACAGATGTTCTACAAGCATTCGTTATGTTTGTTGGTCTTCTCTCAGCAATTATACAAGGTGATCAAATGATTTCTAAGAGAAGTAGATCGAGAACAATTTTTATTTTTCCTTAGGTTTGATCGTGCTCGGTGGTTTTGGACCTACATTTTCAATTGCATCAAAAAATGGTAGAATACAATTCGACAGGTATTTTTTAATAAGTATCATTGAAAGAGACACTAGATTTGCCAAAATTCGAACTTTGGTTACAGAAGATTTGAGCCTCTTTTTAGTATCAGTATTGATCCTCGAGTTCGTCATACAGTCTGGTCTGTACTCATCGGTAGTACTTTTAATGCCCTGTCCACCTATGGTTTTAATCAAACACAAATCCAACGATATATGTGTGTTCGAACAACACGTGGTGCTGCTCAAGCACTGTTTATTAATGCAGTGGGTTCAGCATTCATCATTCTTTCATCTTGTCTCATTGGAATTATTATTTATGCATACTATGCTGATTGTGATCCATATACGGCTAAGTTTATCTCAGCTATCGATCAAATATTTCCTTATTTTGTGATGGAAGTATTAAGTAATATACCTGGTTTACCAGGAGTTTTTCTTGCTTGTATCTTTTCTGGTTCATTATCAACAATATCTTCTGGACTAAACAGTCTTACAGCTGTGATTATTGAAGATGTTTATAAAGGTTTAATGCATGGACAGTTAAGCGATGAAAGACAAGGTTTTATTTCAAAGATCTTTTCGATTATCTTAGGAGCTGTTGTTATGCTATTAACTTATGTAGTTAGTCACCTTGGACCTATACTGAATGCATCGACATCTCTATTTGGTGCTTTACAAGGACCGATTATGGGTGTTTTTTTCCTTGGTTTCTTTTTTCCACGAGCTAATCACCGTGGAGGTTTAGTTGGTTTCGTTTCTGGTGTTGCTTTGCCATTATGGATTTTCGTAGGATCACAAGTAACCAAAAACCAAAGAAAAAGTGAACGTTTACCATTATTTACTACGAATTGTGCCCTGTCAATTAATGAAACAAGAACTTTTCCTACTTCACCCAGGTATGCGATTTGAACTACTGATTAAAATTAGTTTCATTTGATATGTTTCAGAACTGATCCATTACTTGATCTATATTCTGTGAGTTATATGTGGTATTCACCCATTGCTGTTAGCACAGTCCTTATTGTTGGTCTTATTGTCTCGTATTTAACTCGTCCACTTAAACCTCATGAGGTCGATCCAAAATTGATTATACCGATAGATGATGTTTGTTGTTGTTGCTTACCAAAAAGTGTTCGTCATTGGCTTCGCTGTGGTATTGATCATGAAAACTATCTTAACGAAAGGGTCTGTACTGAATTCATTGAATAATCAAGATCGATAATCAAGTTTCGTTGTAGGAAGATAACAACGAGAATGAACTGAACGTTACGAAGCCCTTTCTTCCCGTCGAATCCAATATTGCTTTTCCAGTGGTGCTGATTTCGAAAAAACCAGATGATAGTTGATCAATAAAAATATCGGACTAACATTTTCGTGATGAAAAATTAAAAACTTTTTTAGTTTCAAGATCGAATGAATGGAAAGGATGAACTTGTTTCCTTATTTTGCAGAAGAACAACCTCATAATTCAGCAAGAATAAGATGTCTCTTCCTTAGTGACATACTGGGTGACCCAAAAGTAAAGAAAAATCAGTATTTTTGGCGGGGTGGGTGTGGGTGTGGGTTTGATTATGGTCGATGTGGATTAATAGAATATTCAAACCCACACCCACACCCACACCTGAGTGGGTCAATGAAAAAATAATGAACTTGTCAATCAATATTATGCGAAAAAAGTTTGCATTAATCCGCGGGTTAGCCTGCGGGCAGCCCGTGACGGGTTGGTAATTGTTCAACCCGTGATGGATTGACCTAGGTCGAAAAGAAATCATTCAACCCGTGAAGTAGGTCGCATAAAAAAAATCAGCGACCAACATCTCTGCTATGTGTGATACACCAACATGTATGGAAAGAATTCTCAACATTAATTTATGCGTGTCTTTTTCTTGTTGGTCCATCTGTATGTATATACTTTTATAATACGTTCGCTCAACTATCTTCTTACTCTCGGATCAAGTTCACAATAAGTAGCTATACACTGTGGTATGTCGAATGAAAAGGTGCCCAATGTGTTACTAAAGTACAATTTTTCTTCCAAAAAATACCTACTCGTACTGAACAGAAAATTATTGCCCTATCAATAAAAACCTTCCCATTTTGCTCATCTTTTTTTCAGACACAAGAGAAGTTTGCCCATTGGTCCAAAAATCCTGGTTACGCCACTGGATTGGTCGAAAAATAAATTTAGTGGAAATCCAACTTTATCTGTATAGAACAAGTTCTCGATCTTTAATATATTATTATAACCCGTAAAGGAATACGTCTATACAGATAAACTTGGGTTTCAACTGAATTTATTTTTCGGCCCATCTCGGAGCGGCACTCCAGCTGAATTTTTCGACAAAAATAAAAGTCGTCGGATTGTTTTAAAACATACATAGATCGATTTAGTTTTTTGTACTGAACGCGAATCTGACGTTGGATTTTTTTATTTTAAGTGGACTTCAAAGACAAATACACGAAATACTATTGATTTTTAGTGAAAATCGATGCTCCAATGATAGTCTGCGCTTCCATCAGATGTCTTTCCCCAATCGTTTTTCAATTCTAATAAGTGAATTTTGTAGCTAATGTAAAGAGCTTTTAATGATAAAAAAATGGTAATGTTTACTCTTGCCGTTGAAGAGATCATTAATGAACAATAAATATTCACTGTTTGCTTTTGTTTTCACTTTTTTCTCCTTCAGTAATTTTGATTTTTCAATTAGCCTTCGTTTTTCTGTAGTTCTTACTAGAATTTTTTTTGCATATTTGCAAATTTCAATGGATTATTGTTTACCTAGAGCTTTTTTCCATTCAGTTTCTATTTTTTGTTTTCTTTATAAAAACTCATATTTTAGTATTTATACAGCTGTTGTTCTCAAAAATATTTTTCTATATAGTATATTGATGCTATCTATAGATGGAATGATATATTAGTATCGAATGGACTAAAGCGTCATCCAGTTGTTTATTCTTACTATGTATTGGCCACAGAGCAGACAATGAAGTAAAAAATGACTATCTTACACAACGAATAACATATTTCAAGATACCGTCTTTTTTCGCCTTTTTTCAGAAGTAGAAGATCAAACAATATACGGTGAAACAAATATTGTGTTTGACTTGTATGAAAAAATCTGACATAAAAAATCAAATGTATACATAATATTTATAGCTTATAATTATTTCCGTACTTTTAAACGAATAAATTTGTCTTTTTTTATTTTAGATATAAAAGAAAATAAAATGGATTATAATACTTTATTAAAATATATTTATAATGAAGAACATATAATTTCAAAAATTAAGCCATATGATGAAACTATCGATATTGAATTACAATGGCCAAGTTATAATTTAATTTTAATAAATAATCAAATATTTTTACCATATAAAATAATATCATCACAAAATATTGATCGTTTATTACAACCCATGTCCAATAAAACGGCGTCGTAAATGGCCTGAAATGGCTATAAAACGACGGTCAACGATGTAAAACGTCGATAAACGGTGCCGTAATCCGTCATACCTGACTACGGAAACAAAATCGGATCAAAATGGCGGCTCTTTTCTAGCGATAGAAACGGCTCGTAATACGGTATGACAGATTACGGCGAAATAAGATCAAAATTAATGCAGTAATTCGCCGTTTCCGATGGCAGGAATGATTCTCCTGGGTATGCCTTCGAAACGATTTTTATTCTTATTATTATCAACTTGCAATGATAAATGTAATATGAATTTAAATGAAGATTGTTTAATTAAACAAACTTAAAAATGAATTAAATATATGTGATGTTAAATTACTTGTACTTGGTTTATCTGGATTAAATGATGTCGTTTATTAAAATAACCAAGCATTAACTGAACATACTTGGTCAAAAGTAACCATGGATACAAGATTACTTGTAAATTTAATACATGACTTTTTCATATATTTGTACGATCCTACACAAATGATTTTTCAAATGCCATACCACATCGATTTGAATCTTTAGAAGGTGGATATTTGTTCGAAAAACAAGTTTTTGGCACAATAAAAAATAGTTTTTGGTTTGATAGTAGTTGTTGTCAATTAATATTTGATCAAGACACATGGTCATCATCAACAGATAGTTGTGTATATTTTCAAGTGATATATTGACAAAATTAGAAGATTTTAGTAAAAACAACCCAGGTCAATCGATACGGTACGTATACGGCCGTTTACGGTTAGTTTACGACGCCTAAATGGACTGTATACGGCCCGGTATACGGTGCTGTATTACTGCGTCCAAGATGACGATAAAATACGGTCCGTTTACGGTGCCATGTGAAGCAAATTTACGGTGAAAATACGGATAGCCGTTTCGATCGACCTGGGAACGAAGAATTTCGTCGAAATATTAGATATATACAATTATTTGGAACTGAACGTGACTGCAATAAAAAACTTACATATGATTAAAAATATATTAACTTTTTTTTTGTTGAGCACATATTCATATTTATATGTATATGGTTTGTTTTGTTTCTAAAATTTTTGTTATGTTTGGTTTACTTTTGTATAATCTATTTGATGTGCAATGATATCTTATTGGTGAAGTTTTCATTTGTATGTATAATTTTTTGAAGAAATAATATGGAAAAATAAATAGAAAAGAAAAAACTGTTTTCTAAATGAATCTTGTTTAGAGAAAAAAAACCTAAAAAGATCATATTGTTCGTTTAAAAAATGAAAACAAAATAAATCTTGACATTTTTATTCGGCTAAAATAGTACAGTTTACTCACATAATTCATTTATTGGAGTAAAAACATGTAAATATAAAATCTATTATTTTTCATTTTTAAATAGATAAATATTTTCTCTATAATTGTGTATGTCAATAATAGAATCTTCTTTTATTGTTTCTTTTTTTTTCATAATATTTCATAAGCTGAATCAATGTTATATGTTTCTTTCTTATATTGAAACCTTGGCATATGAGACAGTATACAAATGTCATCAATATCATTTGTCCAGCTTTTTCTTCGGAGTGAGTTTTTTTTCAAGACAAAATTCATATGAAAAATAAAATATTTATTTATTTTTTTCAATTTTATTTCTTCAACAAATCACGTAAAAAGTTACATAAATATATAAAAGAAAAAAAAACATAAACTATTGTGAATATGTTCTCGACAAATAATATTTTCTTCTGGAATATAGTATCTGACTAGTTCCAGGCCGATCATTCCGGTTATCGGAAACGGTGTTTTATCCGGCCTGAAACGGCTATAAAACGGCGAACTATTGCATTAATTTTGGCCTTATTTCGCCGTAATCCGTCATACCGTATTATGAGCCGTTTTAGGCCGTTTACTACGCCGTTTTATTGGACCTGGGGTATAATGATATATTATAACAGACGTATTTAATATTGTTTTAATTCTATGTAAGTCTTTTATTAACACCATGTTCCAGACCAGAGTACTGTATATTTCGAATAATTCTAAGATATATTATGTAGTCGGATCGACGAAATTGTGTGAGTGATTAACCGTTTCGTGAACATAACGATCAGCTCCATCTCTGCCGTTTGTTATCGCATTGTAAGCTCGCCATTGATCACTGTAAATTGTTGTGCCAAGTAAAATATATTGATGATTAATAGACATTATCCTAGCAGTATCACGACGATCTACAACGACAGCAAAACACACACGAATATCCCGATCGATACCACCAAATATCCACTGAGTACTTACCAGACGACCTCGATCGTATTTTCGTTTCGTCCACGCACTTTCATCGATTTCCACCACATGATTAATCCTACCAATAATAGCTGGATGACAAATGAAATATTCACCACATAAATCACGCATAAAATTTTCCCAGTCAACAATTGTTGCATCATTTAATATTTAAACATTTTTTCTAATAAATTTATGTGAATCTAAACCTTGTGACCAGTAAAATATTAAATCCAAAATTTGTTGTATTGTTAGCCGATTCTTTGAAAAAAAAGTAGCATCACGTAATGAACAAGAATACTTACATGTACTACAACGCCACTTGCATTGATCGTTTGATGTTGAACAGGACCCTAAATACCAATTATTGTGCATTTTTTTACATGGTTTGGTTGGATAAACATGTAATAAGCTAACACGTTGACAAAATTCTATGCATTGATCCGTGGTAGAAGTTAAATTATGCCATTCGCGTATAGTTAAATAGTCGAGAGCAGGTAGTGGAGAATAACCCATTGTAAATAATGAAAAAAATGTTGTAGAAAATAATGTTAAATAGAATATCGTTAATTATATTAAACTTAAATCTATTTTAGATATGATTAGATTGTCTCTTTTATGTTAATTACGGGGTGTGGATGGAGTGTGAATGTTGGTTCATTCTTTATTCACACCTACATACACCCCGCACCCCACATCCACACCCACACCCTCACGTCGCCCACACCTACATCCGCACCCACACCCACACCTACACCTACACCCCATTAACAATTATGTTATTATTGATTAATTTACATGCAATCTTAACATTAACATAATTTTTGAAGATGATCGATACGGATCGAAAATTTAAATTATATTATATTATAAAACAAATTATATTGGTTTATTTTTTTTTTGTAAAACATAATGTTTCAAATTAAAAGTTTTTGATTGAATAAAGAATAGAGAGTATTATTTTTTCCTGTTGTCTAACTTATACTATAATTTTATGTATTAAAAATCCATGTTGTGTATACAAAATTTACAAATGTCAATCGATTGAAATTAAAAAAGAGCGTATCAATTTAATTGTTGATACCAAAGAAAATTCTTTAATTCATAATGTTGTTTAAAATATTGAGACTCAAAAAGAAAATCTGTTTCATAGGCTTTTGTATGTTTTACAATGTACAAAAATAAATATTTATATGTACAGAAATAAGTCATTAATGTATTAACATCCATCGTCAACCGTTCAACGGGTAGTGTTACTCTGATTGGAATTCTTCGACGATCGAATTGCTCTTGCAATTAATGCTCCTGCTGGATTAATTGCCATGAACGCTCCACGAGCCATTCGTTTTCCTTTTGAATCGCAACAGTTGTTACCTCCATTGCTTCCAGCTATTTCAACTTCAGCATAGGCTAAATAATTTAATTTTCATATATTTGCTTAATAAAGATTTATCACTTACAAGATGATTCATTTTTGTTGCTACTTCTGTTTCCCATGTAATATCGATGATAGACACTAGAATTGTATCAAAAAATATTTATTATTTAATGATTTGTCAGTTGTATTTAAATATATACAAATGTGCTCTGAGGACAAAAATAAGCTTTATATAACGAGCAAAAAAAAACTGACTCAAGAGTGTCATTTCTTATATATACGTCAGCAAGAAAGAAAAGAAACAGACATTTATCGAATGCGATGACGTCAAAAGAAAGAAAAAAACTATAAAAAGGAATGAGTAATCGTCATGAAGAGAATCAAACACATTTACAGTGGTAGCAAATGATATGTGAATGGCAGAATAAAATAGTCTAAATGCAAAAAAAGTAATAAAATTAATTTCATTTTGAATTGTATTGATAATCTAGAGTAAATGGAATAGTTTAATAAGCCTTTATGTGAATTCTGTTGGAGCTCATATGAATAGCTACTCATGATATTGCTGCTATTCAAGACTATCAATAATATAAAGGGTGTTTCATAATAACTGCGGGTAAATTATCAATGACATTTTTCATACTTTTTCTTAATATAGAAGGTTAAAATTTTTACCACATACATATCTAACCAAGGTCTTTAATTTTTCAAAGTTTCAGCTTTGTACTTAAAACTGTCCTGTCAGACAAAAATTTTGAAAAACGCATTTAAACGCACAATCGGGAACCGCGATTGTAAGCCATTCACGCTCATTATAAAAACGCATGAAAACGCGTTTATTGGTGTTTTCTGTAACTTTCTAGGCGTCAAAACAGCGAAAATTCCAGGTTTTGAGCGTTAAAACGCACTATTATTCTAGAACTTAAAAACAATATGTTTTAACGCTCAAAAACTGGAATTTTCGCCGTTTTGACGCCCAGAAAGTTGCAAAAAACGCCAATAAACGCGTTTTCGTGCGTTTTTTTAACGAGCGTGAATGGATCACAGTCGCGGTTCCCGATTGTGCGTTTAAACGCGTTTTTCAAAATTTTTGTTTGACTGGGTGGTGCTGAAATGCATAGACGCATTGAAATATATGAATTTTCATATTTTATCTTGGTGATATCTTTATCTTTTACTTAATCGTTACGTGGTGACCAAGAATTATTTTAACTATATAGAAACGCATATCTATCTAGAAGGCTTCAAATTTAATAGTCAATTTTATCTTAAATATCGGTCAGTTACGACGAAAGAAAAAGATGTTAGATATTTTGTAGTGAATTTAAAACGGCTCAACACAACATGAAGTGCTGGTCGCATTGTTCACTTCATTTAAAGTTGTAATAATCCAGCACACTTAAAATACAAATCATTTCACAAGTGTGCATCGCGAATATTAAAAAGAGGGACCATTAATGATAAAAAAACGATCTGATCGTCTTGTAGCAGTTACAACATCTGAATTTCAACAAAATGTTAAGGGTGTGGTTGTGGGTAAAAAGATCATCAACACTTACACACACCACCC